CGATTAATTGTTCTTCCTGAGAAACAGCTGATTTTATTCAACAACAAAGCTGTCATTTTATCCACTCCACACTCATCCATCATTTCATATTTGGGTTAAAATATTCTGTAGTTTTGTTCCCATCAATAAAATATACATTTCGAACAAAGGCTCTCCCGTAGATCGACATGGCAATAATTCAGAGGTGCACATTCTGCGTATACGGAGGATATTTTAGTAGAAAAGTACAACTCCTAAATTGGGCAATATACTATCAGTGACTATCGTTTGGACAGTAGTTAGTGTGTGAAAGTTACCTTGGTCTCGTTTGTAACATGTCATTAGTACAGGGTCGCCATACAATTGTATACATACAATATTTCAAAATATTGAGAAACCTCCATGCACACAGTACATCCTGCATCGTTATGCGCGTGTAATTTAATAACTGGTGTTTAGTTTATGAGGTGTGTTTAGTTTACATATTTAAATGGTCAAAGGATGTTTGGAGTTTGGTCGCAATGCAAGCATCACTGCAACACACAGGGTCTAGGTCCATGCAGAGTTGAAGGGCGTAATAATTGTAGAGGGGTGACAAAAAAGACCTTTGTTGGACTAAACTCCCCCACAACCGACACATGACACAACCCCTGTAAAACTAGTCTTCAACAATGCTTCAACCCTGTATACTTGAGGGCTAAATAGAAACGAAAACAGAATCTTCGATGAAACATAGGTACTCAGGGATCAGCTGAAGACAATTATTGAATGGTATGTTTGTGCTCGGGACCATCGTTGAAGTGATTAAAATCAATTATGATAATCTGTATACCACTACTTATAGTTAAAGAGTGCTGGTTTGGGGGCAAAGGGGTACAGGGGAAGGGGTATAAAGTTACAATGGAGGGAGTACAGAGTATGAGATAAAATGGGTATAAGGGTGAAGGTAGGTGGTATAAGGGTACAACACTAGGGTTGTAACACAGTGTGGAAAGGTATAGAGTAAATGGTGTAAATATGTATGGCTTGGGGTATACGGTTAACGAGTAGGGAATGAATGTAAAGGTAGGGGGTAAAAGATTACAAACTTAGGGTTATAAGGGTATGGAACAGAAGGGTACTGTATAAAGTAGATGGTGTAATAGTGTAGGCCTAGGTTAGGGGGTATACGAGTAACGAGTAGGGGTATGAGGGTAAAGGTAGGGAGTAATAAGGTTACAAAACTAGGGTTATAAGGGGATGGAACAGAACAGAAGGGTATGGAGTAGGTGGTGTAATAGTGTAGGTTAGGGAGTGTAAGGGTCAGGATTAGGGGTATGAGGGTAAAGGTAGGGGGTAAAAGGTTACAACACTAGGGTTATAAGGGGATAGGGTATGCGGGTACAGAGTAAATGGCGTAAATGTGTAGATGAGGGGGTATACGGGTCAGGAGTAGAGGTATGAGTGTAAAGGTAGAAGGGGGTAAAGGGTACAAAACTAGGGTTATGGGGGTATAGGGTATACGGGTACAGAGTATGGGTAAGAACGTTTTGTAGCAGTTGCAGTTTTTAGTTTAATTACAATCTGAATATTTAAGATTCCATATCCGAGAAAGACTAAAACTTTTTCAACTCGACCAAAAGATCCGCCAATCCCGTGTGCAAGTTTTGACACCAATCAGGTAGGTCCGTGATAGACGTAGTGTTGTGGTAGCAACCGGACGCGGTTTTCCGATTTTCACGGCGACAATCGATTTTCCAGAGTTAGTGTGTCGACTTTCCCGCCTTCTGTCACGCTTTCCCCGCCACCGACGCCTCCGTCGCGCCGAACATTGGGCAAACACACAATACGGTTCACATCCTGGGCGGAGAGAGCAAAGAAACGCCTTCGGAGAGTAACTTTGGCGTCATAGGGAATGAAAGTGAGAGACATGTGACCAAGAACAAGAACGCCCAGCATATCACCGCAATTCCATAAGTTGAGGTGTTTAAAAAACTTGATACAATATTTATTCACTCACCTGAATTTCCTACTCAATATCTTTCGATTTTCATTTTATGTTGAGTTATTGAATGTTAAAATTTTTTTGAATTTTTTCCCAATCCCATCCCGAGCCTCGCCAGTCCTAGTTGGTACAATTACGCATCTGTAGCAGTACAAGGTCAGGTCTGTGGTACAGGATCGTTGTTTAGAACTGAAGGATGTTTCTCGACCTTGAGTGTCGGGTCGGTGGTCTAGTCCAAGGTCACAGTTCCGTGTTGATAAGGTGAATATGCCTCTGATACGGCAGCGGTGCGAAACCTATAGCGAGTTTCCATTATGTCAGCTCAACTCGAATAAAATCAATTAGTTTTCTTTATTTCTGTCTACAAATTAGGGACCCCCGTAGGTTTTGTAGAGGATTTTCACATTTCCATGCTAGTTAGGTACTTTTGGCGTTTTATTATACTTTAACGGTTTAAAGGTCTCATAGCATGACGAGCATAGCTTAGATGCAAATAGAAGAAACCAAACAATTGATTTCTCAAGAAAGGTTTTGGCACGAGCAAAAAGTAAAGTTTCGTGTTCAGACGTGCCAGGATGCGGATTTTCAGGTTTCAACACGACGGATATGAGGTCTTGAGACTGAGATTACTGAAACTCGGAAAATGACTCAATGTTAACGCAATTTCTAATTTGTAATCAAACTGTAAAATTCCTTGTGTGTTGGCGTGAGCAATGTAAATATAAATACGTCTGGCGGCATGCAATTGTAGTTTATGATATTTTTTACACTAAGGTTGAAATTATACAATAAGTTAAGTTTTCAAATATGAAAATCTTCATATTTTCAATACGGCTAAGAATAAAAAAAATCGTAAAAGATTTTTTATTTTTGGAGAAATTTAAAAATCTAGCTTCAATTAACAAGAAAAATTCTTTATTGTAGAGCCAATATCTCTAAATGATTATCACTATAAATTTTAAACCACACGAAACAAAGAAAACAAATTGAGTTCTATTTATCGGCTGGCACTGCAAGGTGTGGGCGTGGCAGCCCTGGCAAATCGCACGGGGATGTTGGCCACACTGCTGCAACAATGCTCATTAGACAGGGCCTCCCTAATCATTACTCAAATCTGCGATTGGCAACACTGGTGAACCGGATATTAATGAGATTGATGAGTCCGAATCATTCTTTGTATCCTTTACTGTTGTGTGTATTAATGTTGGTACGGTAACAAATTTTATTTAAATAAATTGTCCTCTTTTAGGCGTCGATACTAAACAAAAATGTACACTTTTTAATTGTAACATAATATTTGTTTGTCCGTTTTGATACCTTCCATAATAGAGTAAACAATAACGTACAAACACGTGTTAAATTAATTGCATTTTCTACGACATACCCTTAACACTTGTACGAAATGTGTATCAATTAATTGTTGTTACAAGCTAAAACATGACAACATCAACTAAAGAGAGTAAATTATTAAAAGCACATGCCAATTGTTTTTAAATTGTTAACTGAAGTGTGGTAAACAATTTTCTATTCATATTGACAATGAATAAACTGTCCACAAAAACTTTTAACATACAGTAGAAATATTCTATTATAAACTGTAGTTTGTGACAATTTACCTTATGCTAATTCTTAATTTGTAGTTTTTATTTTTCTCCAATACATCCAGCGATGAATGCTTTTGCAACACACGTACAGCGACCGTGAAGAAACCGTGTTATCAATTAATTAAGTATTTCTATCTAGTGTATACAACAATCAAGACAGTACTGATAACAAGGGCCATGGGGTATTCAACGATCGAACACAGTTGGAGACTTCATTTGAATTTTGTTCAACAGGGAAGTTTAATCCAGCGAAGGGTTTAGTGATATCGAAGCTTAGTTTTATGACTTCTTTAATTCCGAGTTGTCTTCAAAACGATTTGCTTGCAGTTTTACAAGTTGTTTTAGTGATATTGTCATATATCATTGCGTATAGGTTAAATGATGTAAAATACTAATTCCAAGGATGTTCACCTCAAATGTTTGATAGGTATCGTTGTTAAATACAGTATGAATATTGTCAGGAAAGAAAGCACCGATTATAATACCTGTATTGGAATATAAACTAGAAGGTAATTGATCTAACATGAATATATCCAGTTACCTGTGTGGGTTCGAAGGTGCGCCTTGAGGTGCGAACTCTTGCCATACACCTTGGTACAGCCGGGATGGGCGCACCTGTGGTTCTTGCGGAACACAGTCCCGGGGGGCGTAGTCCCCGAGGCTGCGGCACTAGGGGAGGATGTGACATCCACCTCGATGATCTCCTCCTCGATGTCGTCCTCGTAGAGGTCGTCGTCGTCCGGCACATTAGGCACGGGCTCCTGCTTGATCTCCGTCAGGTCGGTGAGGATGCGGGCGACCATGTAGACGGGGGGCTTCGCCCTCTCGGGCTCCTTAGCGGGCGCGCTCAAGTCCAAGGGGCGGTAGTTCTCGTCACGAGAGTGAAACATCGCCAGCAAACATTGCGCTGCGAAATTTATGTCCTGGTCCATCCTAAAAAAGTGGGTGGGGCCCTAACCCCTAACGAAAACAAAATAAATTCTACACGGAAAGATAACATCCGACGATAATGTCACTGGACTCTCTGTGAAACTAGCGGAAATCGGTGGAGAATCACGAATCGGAAACGTCAGCGGTTCGATCGATCTCGCACCGCATCAAAACAAGACTGCCAGTGCCTCGCCTCCCTGACTGGGACAACGACGACACGGTTGCCATGTGCTTGCGGGTGGGGCAGACCCAGACGTAGCAGGGGGTGCTACCTGGCGGCCAACCGTGGAACTACCGCGGCGCTACATGCGGCACTTCAATGAACTACGTCACCGATCAGCTGTTGCTGTTTGTTACTGACAATATGTTGTTTGGTCAATGTTTATTTACACCGTGTGTTTTGAATTGTTAGAATTTCTGCATTGAGGGTACATTTTGTCAACAACAGTTAAACATTTTAGAGATGAATAAAAGCTTTCAAGTAATATTTGTTTTTGCTACAAGAGAATTTTGAAACAAAATTTAAGTGTTAAGAAAGTTATTAAACTTAGATGTTGAGGGTTCAAACATTACTATTAACTACTACAACCAGGATTCTTGAATCAGCTAATCGATTTGGGGTATGGACTTTTTTTAAATACATTTATTCATTGATATGGTTCCACTTGATATGGTTTTACATGACTGGGAGTTAAATAATTGAAAACAAAATACAGGTACCGAGTATTGCTTTTCTCATAATGTCAACTTGACAAAACTGAATGACATTAACTGGTAAAGAACTAACCAGGACTACTACATCCACCTATGCACCGAGAAAAGGTACAAAGAAACTTGCTTTTGGGAAACGGGACAAAAGAGCGCTTTCTTCTTTAGCATGATGTACGTGCTAGGGCAATATACGTGTGACGAGCAAAGAGCCAGAGCAGCGAGTAGTGTGCGGAAGTTTGTATCCCACAGGGCACAAGGTCTCCAGCGTGAGCGTTGTATATTACATGATGGCGAGGGGGGTTAGTAGAAGTAGGTGGTGTTGGAATTAGTTGCGACTAGTGCTAGACTCCATTGAATGTTTCCTCTGTACCTTACTTCTCGGTGACCTATGTAATAATTGCAGAGGATGGGTAAGAAGCAGCGGAGTGAAGAAGAAGGATACGGCAACGACAGTCGTCCGTGGCTGCTCGGACTGCGGCCTGAGGAACCTTTCATGACGTCCAGCACAACCAAAGACACATTTACAGGAGATCGGCCTTCAGCACCTAGTGGAGAAGGTACAGCCGTTGTGTTTTTCTTTCAACTTTTTTTTTTAAATGAAATAAGTAATACAGTTTAAGTTTAGTATGAGATACATTTACAAAATCTGATCAAAACAATTACATGAAAGAGGATGCTACAAAAATTTATGTATTCAGATTCTCTATGGGAATAACATTTGCAGTTTTTGAAATTTTCACAGTTACCATCAAGCGTACTACACTTCAATATTATTTTTTTGTTAATATACAGCAGAAACTTTGATCTTTAATGATTATTTACAGGTATTCGAAAACAGATGCTAAAGAAAGAGCTTTGGGACCAGGCCAAGAAACAGATCTTGGAGGAACTATCAAAACCAGAGACCAACGAGCAGCCGACGACAACTTACAGCGGAACCTTCGTAAAGGAAGGATTTAAAGCTGAGCCTATCAAGACTGATCCAGAGGTTTGTTGGAAAAAAAGTCACATTAAATTTAATAAGAGGACCAAGGTGCAATTCTTACTTCAACACAATGGGCAGGAATTAAACAAATGTTTCTTTTCATTTATCTCAAACCTACGACTTACCATAATTTTAGACATATACACAAGGAAGGCTTGAACTAGCTGATCCTGGTCAAAAAAGCTACCATCCAATCAACCAACACACATCTTTGCCATAAAATATGCTGCACTATGATGTGTTGTTGTAAAAAATATAATTACAGTTAGTATAATATGAAGGCCTTTCTACTCCTCACCTACTATGTGTTTGGTCCCCAAGGTCTCGGCCAGCACCAATGGATTTTATTTTAGATTTTATTTATCATATTTAAATTTTTCTGTTCACTGCTTGTTGATGAACTGAAGGTCAATTGCAAACACATCTTTCCGTACAGTCAGAAACCGTGTGTGAAAGAAACTTAAGAAACAGCCTAAATTCAAATGGTTTTTAATTGGACGACAACAATTGTAGTGTGAAAGAAGCGAAGGATACGATACCTTCAGTATCAGAGTGAGGGATGAGTATTGAATGAATTATATAGCTTTGTAACTGGCTAAGATCAGCTGTTTCTTTGTTATCAATGTTCAAAGACAGTTAGGTCCAGTTTCTAAAATTTTAACTTTAGGATCGAAACAACCTTTTAAAAATATGTATTTATTCAGCTGTTCAACTTGTGTTTAAGAGGTATGTATTTAAACACACCAGATAAAACATCTTATCGATCACTATGATATATTATTTTTTTTTTTTACAGTTGCACCAGAAATACCCCCTCTACCTAGACCAGGGAGTGAGCGTATGGAGGGAGAAGCTGCCCTCCCTACCCGGCGCTACACGATCGCCCCACCCCAGACATCAGTTCCGCAGATACGCTGGGTTCACCACACCGATAGACAAACTGCTTTACGACCCAGCTGACATTCATTGAACTTCCTTTTAAAACCAATATCAAACAATCTTAAATCTCGGTAAAATTTGTTAAAATTTGAATGTTATATATCTCTTATGAATTGAATGCTACATTCGTAGTATGTTTGTAATAAATTATTTGGAGATACCATTGAAAGGAAAAAATAAAGTTTGTAGTAAACCTAGGTTTTTTGTATTAGCATTTTATCATATTTAGTATTTTAATGACTTTCTAGCTTAGTGATTAGAGACTCCAACTTTGCTACATGAGGTGGGATGTAGCCACTAAAAAAGAACTTTACTTGGGGGAGCAACATTTGTTTACGCTGCTGTCTTCCCAAGACCCCAGGCCAGTTTGTAGGATTAATAGGGGATGATTAACCACAGAATACAGACACACTTGAATAAATATAATAAACTGACCATCACAAAATTTAACTTAAATTCAAAAACATAAATGATATAAATAGGTAAAAAAATATACAGAACAATTTTGTAAACATTTTTAATTCAAGGAAGGCTATTTACATTTGTTTTCTTAATTTCAAGAACCCTCAAGATTATGTTTAGTAGTTCTAAATTTTCTTGGTTTGTACTTCTACGTTTACAGGCTTCAAATCTGAAAAATGGTAAATAATGTTATTTTTCAAAGGTAATAATTTTTACCTACGTTGTTATTGTACTGGTTTTTTTAAACTAGCCCTTTCTGTTCAGTTTTTAGAATTAAAAAATCACTTGACGCTTTGTTTACTTACTTAGCAGCATAGTTGTTTTACTTAAATAACTTAAGGAACCAATGAGGTTCAATGATTGAGGGAATAGAAGTAAAATTGTAATACTTCAAACGTCAACTTATCAGCTGTTAAGAACAATCTACTTGATTAAACAATGAGTGAGTGGTTGATACAGAGTCGTTGTATCACAAAAAGTGGATATGAGAGGTTATAAACGAAAACGTAATCTCTAAACAACTATTTTTACAAATTACAGCTAAGCACTGATTTTAACTACGATTATTGATTAGGCAAACACATAGAGTGTAGTTTTATTAGAATAGGTTTTCGGTTTTAGGTTCATCGGGTAGTATCAGGAAGCCAGGAGCACAGTCCCGTGGTTGCGGATTTGATGGGTTTTATTATAGTTAAATCGATAAAATCTAAATATATGAAAGGCAAAGCCCTCACTGACTGACTGACTCACTCACTCACTCATCACTAACTTATGGAAGCCTCACTGACCTAGCCCTCGTGACGGATGTCGATACGTTTTGAAGCGTCTTTCCAGCTGCTGTGGATGAAGTACTCTCGGATGCGAGGCTCTATGAGGTAGTCGGGGTCCTTGGTCTTGTAGATGGGCTCTCCGTAGTACGTACCTACTTCCCAACCTTCAACGTTCTTCATCAGATCAGCTTCTAGATCTCGGTTGACCTTGAGCTGCTTGAGGAATCTGTTAGACAAAAGAGCCTTCAGAATGAGCTACAACTGTAGTTTATTCAGTTAACTTAGTTATTGTCTGTAGAATATTTGAGTTTAAGAAGGTTGATAGGTGTGATTAGGGAGAAATTCCCTATGAAAAAATCCCTCTCCCCAGAGTCATACACCACTGTAGGCTTAATACATACCTATTAAGTTAAGTTCAACTCATTATTTATTTTTATTGTATAAATGTTTTACTAAAGTTTGTTTCTGTTTTGAAAATTTCCTCTAAAAATAATTATATGAATTTATGGTATCAGCAGTTAACTAAGTCACTACGGTATTAAACCTCATTATAAATAGACCGAGTTCAGTACATTATTCACACTTTTGTCTTTATTGAGTGAGATACAAAACAAGCTGATCTCAATCAGTACCGTAGACCTAAGAATGCTATTAGCTATTACAATGGCATAATTATCTTCTAATCTAAGTTAATGTTAGTTTTGCCTAACAGCTTCAATGGTAACTTAAGGGTTCGGACCATTCCCTTTCAAAACGTTAAAAAATATCATTGGCAATTGGCATGAAAAACACACAAAATAAAATATATTTTTTACAAATAAGACTTACGCTCTATCTCGCTCTGCAAACATCACAGGTAGGATAGCAAATAGTGAGCTTCGCACTTCAACCTGCTGCCGGATCTGGTTTTTGTATCCCTTGATATAAAGGTAGGAAGCTGCAGCAGTTATTCCAAAAAAGCCAAGGAACATTTGAGGGCCTGAAAATTGTTCAAACTGTATGCGCCTAGTTCAAGTAAAACTAAAAAAAAAATGTTATAGATACTTTAATAACTTGAATCCACTTTATTGTGTTTTTATTTAAACCTGAAGTGTTGGCTTGGTATAATTTAAATACTGTAGTTAAAGTTTTTCTTAGACAATTTAAGAAGTGTTAAGCGTGTTTGAGTTATTGTTTCCCTTAATAACTTAACACTGTCTTACTTAAATACATTTCCTATTAAAATATCAATTATTGATCATTTTGTATTCACTAAGTTATGTATCCCTTACGATAAGCAGCTATTATTAAAACATAGCCTACTTTACAAGTCTTTGACTTCCTAATGTGGTAGTTGGTACCTTAAAACTTAACCTTAGAATCGAAGACACCTCAGTGTTATCCGAGATTCTCGGTAACCGAAGTAGTCTCGGTCCCAACAACCTCGGTTGATGGGAGTGTACTGTAAAATTTGTCATTAAGGTAATTTTGTAGGCTGTAGTATGGCTATGGCTTTTCTCTCATTCTTCAGAGCAGTACAAAAGGATGTTTCCTCTTGGTTTTTCATTGAAGTTAAGGAAGATGGTTGTAAATCTTCAGGGCAAGCATTGGGAATGAGTTTTTGGTTTTTGACACTGCAGAAGGGTAAGTTATGTCCAGGTCAGAGTTGTCTTGTACTATGGCTATGTACAGTATTTCTTGTAGGGAATTTGTGTAGATTTGCCTTCACATGGGCTGCTGACATAAAAATGTATTGATGTAGATGGTTAAAATTCAGAAGCTAACAAACAGAGGTTTGTAATGGTCAAATCTTTTACTAAAAGTTAAAATATGAACTGCTTTTTCTGTAAATTGAGAATTTTTTGACATGGTGCATGGCCCCAGAGTAGGAGACCATAACCTAGCTTAAAATACTATGGAAAAGAGCGTGATAAGTTTACACTACAAGAAAATAAGTTAAGGTTCTTAGCTGCAAGCCTAACTTAGTCAACTTCCGAAGTAGGTGGATCACCCTGGACAGTCTTTTAAATACAAACTGTTTGGATGTGTTTAAGTTAAGTGATCCCAAGCAAGTTTTGGATCAAATGAAAAACCAAGAAGATTTAAGTTACACTGGTTACATCTCGTACGTGATGACTGAGTAGGGTTGCCATAATGGTAAATTGTAAAAAAGGGGAGATTTTAGCTGACGGCCCTCACTACACTAAATAGGCCTAAAAATGTAGGGGCTAGCAAAGTTGTATACCTACATAGCACAAATAAATATTATAACAGGAACGGTATGGGTCATACACATAAAAAAAAATTATGTCACTGGCCTGAAAGTAGACACGTTTTTATTAATACTTAAATGGAACTGTCAACGTCCAAACCAGTTGTTACGGACTATTAGTCATAAACATTTATATAAAATACTTACTAATATTAGGCTACGTCTATTGACATTCGGGCCAGTAACGTCATTTATTTATGTTAATTAATCAATACCGTTTCTGTACAAGAAACTGTAAAAATATGTTAATAGAGAGTACAAGAGTTCATTTTTCAGTCATTGTATAAGTTTAGACTAACAATATTTGTGAACACAAACATTTTATTTATTCCAAAAGTGTCGTTATAGGCCTACAATGTATTTTGATTGACAGTAAAAAAAGAGGAGATATCCCACTTTTTGCAGAAATCCCCCGGAGCTAAATTTTGAACGTCAAAACCCTGTAATCTCCGGGGAAATCCGGGGATATGGCAACCCTATGACTGAGAGTACAAATAAGTCTCTGCGTCTTGTCTTCATTCAGTTTTAATTTATTAGCCACAAACCAGTGTTTCGCTTCATTGAAGTGAATGTCAGCCCTCTCAAGTGCTAACTTGGGGTAGGGAATGCCCCAGGCGAGAAGATGGTAGCGTCGTCCGCAATCTAGAGCCATACCATTGAGCTCGAGGTCATTTATGGCGACAAGGAACAGTAACTTACCTCCCTAGAAAGGCCTAGGCCTACCTCTCCCACCACAAATATGGCTGTAACTTATCCCACCTCACACATATTAGACTAAGTTTTGCCAACCACAACAATGCAATGCTATTTCGTTAGGTTGATTGACGATCACCATTTCAAACTTAAGTGTTATAGGCTAAATTTAGGCCTTATAAAGGCCTTATCAACAAGGAGTGTTTTTAATCTAACAAGACTAAGTTAACAAGTTAAACTTTAACACCATATTAAGTTTAGTTATATGACTGATTTTTATTTAATGGAAAATTAAGTTTCTTTATTTTCGAGCATTATGATTTACTTCAATGTTTTAACCAACAGAAATTATCCCTGAATAAAATAGATAGGTAGTAAGCTAGGCTTACCTGAAAAATAGGTTCTAGCTTTGATTCTTTCATAATTTATTGGTCGAAACCCGCCAGGAGGAGGCATGTCCTGCTTTCTCGCTGTTGTAGCCATACTTAAACGACTATTATAAAGTGGTTCCTAACTAATTAACTAATTTATAATAAGGTATTATACATTTAAAGCTTGGGCCACAATTTGACTAAGCAGACGAGCCTAGTAACAAGACTCCATCAAGGACGAATAAAAAGAAAAAGTAGTAAAAAACTTGTTTTCTTCTCTTCTTGGTTGTTATAAAGGATGGTTTGGTTAAACTGCCATGTAGCTCCCCAATTTTAATTATATCACGACTGTAATATAAGTTTATAAATTTATCCCGGGCCTTCTTGGGGTGAACTTAGGTAACGAAGGATCTTTTTTTATTTATTTAAATTAAGGTTAATAATAAAAGGGTGAAAATAACCATATAGACAGCATTGATTGAGTGATGTCATTTCCTGTCACAATTTCACTTATTTTGGGAAGACTGTGAATCCCTAACTCCCTTTTCTGATGGAATAATGATAATGGAAAGGCAAGAAGAGAATGATAATACCTATAGAGAATAAGAATGTGAATACATGAAGAATACTATGAGAATAAGAATACACATTTTCGCTTGAGCGAGTAAATTTGATAAGCATAATAAAACGTTAAGATGAAAAACAGCCATTGACTTTGGCTATAAATAGAGTAATAGAGTTAAGCCGGTTTGGCTAAAACAATTTTAAAAATAAGGTTGTCGTTTTGTAGACTATGTTACGTATGTGGTTGACTAGTGTTGAACATATTTACTCTTGCACAGTACATTATTCAGAATATTATTAGTATGACCCCGGTCCCATTATAATAATAATAAATGCACAGCTCTTTTCCCAAGTCCATATTCACGCATTTAAACAGTACACTACTCTAATCCCAATGTAACTGGTATATCCAAAAGATGGTAAATTTATTTTCCTATTCGCAAATATCTACCTGAGCGAAGAGCGTGTCAAAGACAGTATCCGTAAGCCACACACCTATCAACCACATTAATTAAATGAAATTACTTGATGAGAAACTCCCAGGAAAAAGTATCAGTTTTCTGATAAGCCCTCTCCTAAGTACATTAGTTGAAGGGCTGTATTTATTATAAATATGCGTCAGCTGATACGTATGTTTTTAACTATAACTAGTTATTAAACTATAATATAAGCAGATTAACAAAATATATACGTATACTTTTTAATACTTTTCGATGAAATGGCGACCATTCAATTCATACAAAGTAGTTTTAAGCCAAGTATGAATGGAAATGAGTGTAGGATAAGTGGTGCGATCGGATCTTGTAGTCTTGTAAGTGACAAAGGCCGTCCTTGTAGACATAGCTGTTAACTAATAGCTCATGCAGCTAATGGCAACTAAGGGACCTACAGTTTATAGTGGAATCCGAACCACATTTGTGCCCTGTATCATATTTATTATGTTTTAATTTTATTAGTTTTTTTTTACTTTGACGTGTTTGTCATGTTACTATCATTCTACCATCGGCATTTTGTTTTGTTATTAGGTAACATTAGCAATGATCTCACTTGGAACTATTGACCTTCAGATTTGAAGACGAGCTTCACAACCACTCGGTTACCAAGACGATTAATAGTAGGATTTGCATGGTTGGATAAACTTTTTCATCTACCGACCACTTGTCTACCAATATAACTTCACGTTCAACATTTACTTAATACGAATTTGTAATTTTACTTAGTTAAAAGAAGTGGATTAGATATTCCAGGAGGATACTCTAGAAATTGCCAATACAATCGCCTCATTGTCATTATCCATATGGGTGCTATTTTTAGCACCGGCTGTCTGATCGATCATCCTTTCCCGCGCAAACTCCGGCGGTTCCATTGACAGTCACCATTCCTGGCGGGTGATAAAACATCTTATCACTGAGATAATCTACTAACAGGTGAGTATTCATATTATATCCTAGGACATAAGGTCATTTTCTGGTCCTGAACAGGAAACGAGTATGAAAAGGTTGAAGTTTTGACCGAAACGGATTTCTGAAAATCATCAAGGATTACCATATGGTGGCTAGTAGTAAAAGGATAAGGTTGTTGGATTTTTGTGCGTTTGTATGCTTTAGGTGTTCATTCCATAAGGTTTGGGCCAAGAAAATAATTAGTGAATGAAGAAAATATGACATGAAGAAAATAATATTGGTTATGCTTTAGTTGAAATAGGAACAAAGAATATTATTTTTTTGGCAATTGGTAGACTACGCAAGATCAATTAAATTCAGTGGAAGTTTTTGGACATCAATTTAAAGTATACCTACTGTATTTGTATTTAAAGAAAATCTACTGTATACATTTGGAGCAACAAACATTATTATTTTATTTATTTATTTTAAATATCGGTACTTAAACACCTACTTACTTTTTACAGTTGATATTAAGGACGGCGAAATTTAGTTGGGCCTTTGGTTTTATATTGAAAATTTTAAACAAATGAAGATGGATTAGCGTAACATTTACATCAGTTTCGTTACTATAACTATTTTACGTTTTTAATAAAACATTTTTCCACCGTCTTACTATTTAGTAAGCAACAATTGAGCAAGTAATTGAGGTTTTATTTAATTGTTAATTGGAGTACGATTGTATATTTAATCCATTCATCATAGCCTCCAAAGGATTGATTATTGACAATATACCTTACGTCGTCAATCCTAAAATTATAAAATTATCAATTTTAGGATTGACGACGTAAGGTATGTTAACCTATTTATATTGTATACCCTATTTAAGTTTTATATGCTGTTTTAAATCCTAAATATTCAACCGTTTTTTGGTGTAACACGATATTAACTTATTTAAAATCTTTTTTAGCATTATTAATACCAATACTTTTTAATGCAATTTTAATTGTTAATTTCCGTGCATTTGTGTTGGCTATGTTTTATGTAAAACTAAACACGTGATCCCTAATTAGCCTAATATGTGATACTAAACATAATTTTTATGTTTAAATCTTAAAAATGTATTTTCGAGGTACCTATACGTTTGTACAATAGGTAAGAACAATGCAATCATATTGCAACTGCAATACATCCAGAATCTTTTAAGTATCTGTATTTAAATTTACGTATTGCAATAAGTATTTTTCATATGATGTAAAATACTTTAATATCGTACCACCCCTTATTAAAAAAATCTCGACAAATTATTACATTACTGTACCTAACCCCAGATCCCATGCGATGAGAACATTGCTAAGTTGATGTTTTCATCACCTAATTTTTTTTTAAATTAAACTTTGAAGCAATTACTAAATTTTGATTTATTACTAAACGTATTGCTGAAGGCGTTTGCGATCGATTTTTCATCGTTCAACCATTGATTATATATCTCCCTTAAGATATATAATCAATGGTCCAACAATAACATCAAAGCGTTACCTGCTATAATAGCCCTGTCAGACGACCTGTCAGGGGTACAACTGGTACAAGTTGGCTGTTCTTTATGACCTATGTTACTAGTTGTTTCTTTTTCTTCGTTCTTGAATATAAAATTTCCGTTTCATTGTGGCATTTCCGGAACGGTTTGACCTAGTCTCAATTTAGACTAAGTCATGCATTTATCTTGGTCGTTTTATGCAGAGTTTTTATGTGGCATTTTCTCTATATTTGCCTTGTTGCTTTTAACTGCCGTGTAAAATAGAGGATAAACCATAGACTATGGATGAACGAAAGGTTTTTTTATTTGGATCCCAACACAAACTGTATTTCTCTAAGGAATGTTCCCTGTTTCCCTGCAGCACAGTTGCTTTACTGAACTGTGAATAAATAGTATTTTTCAAAAGCTCCTTAATGGGGGAGGTGTCACAATTAGACTATCTTAACATTCTGATAGTGAGCTTAGTAATAATTGTTAATAGAATTACTTGATGAATGTATTAATTAACATAGAAAACATGTGGAATGCTACAAACGTTGTTCTCCCATCACAAAATCGGACAAAGGTGCCTTGTACTACTATCATCTGCTAGACCACCTAAGAAAATAACTCCTTATATCACATAACATCTAACTGGTGAGAAGAAAGGGAATTTGTAATGGACCAACACTATAAAAAACTTTAAGACACCCTTTGTACAATTTTTCTGACATGTGTATGTTTCTCAAATTTTGTGTATGGAATGAATCTATTTTCAATTAGTTACAACATATTTTTACCGTTTGACGATATAAAACATTTTAATACCGGTATTTTGTTATTTCCATAGCAGCAAGATGCCAGGGGCCAGGCACAAGATTCTGGGCCATGTTTTCTCAGGCTTCTGCACAAAAATGAACAGAACTAAACAGCTCAGTTCTGCCGATGACAACATGGAAACTCCATTAAAACGTTGTCTGAACACTTTCGACATCACTCTGCTGGGTAAGTATTAGTCTAATCATTGGTCCGTTACTCGTCTTGTAAAGTAGTAAAACAACAATACTGTTAAGTAAGTAAACAATGCTGTTAAATGAATGTTTTTGTCATAGGTGAACAAAGCACCAGATGCATGTTGAGAACTCACTATGTTCTGACGTTTGAAATGTCTTACTGTCTTAATATCACATTCTATATTGTTTACAGGTATTGGGCACATGGTGGGAGCTGGCATCTATGTCTTGACTGGCACAGTTGCCAGAGATCTGGCAGGTCCTGGCATTATCTTGTCTTTTATCCTGGCTGGCATGACATCCATGCTCGCAGCCCTGTGCTATGCAGAGTTCGGAACACGAGTGCCAAAGGCTGGTTCAGCTTACATCTACACTTACGTCAGCGTTGGAGAGTTCTGGGCCTTTGTCATCGGATGGAATATCATTCTTGAACACATGATTGGTAAGCGATATACAAACAAAATCATAATAAAAAACTAGATGTTATTACATAAGTGTATGGTAGTTATTGATTAGCGCAAAATCCTATTATTTTTACCCTACGTTTGTTTTCTGCACATCTGGGGATTTGTGTTATGCTTAACATAGTCTAAACTCACTTTTACTAACCAAACAATTAGTATATGAAATAATGTTTATTCCTCCAAAAATTACTCAGGGAAATAAAGTATACATACTCAATTCCAACCACAATTACCAGTAAGCGTAGTACAGCTTCGAACCATTAAAAGTCTAACGATTTTTTTTTCAGAGTCAAACTGGCACTTTCGATTGTAGATCAAGGTCCTCCAGCAAAAAGACATAGAGTAATACTCCAGACAACTAATCTTATTACTCTGTGTATTTCAGGAGCTGCCTCTGTGGCCCGAGCTTGGAGTGGATACATAGACTCCATCCTAGGAGGTGTTATCAGCAACTACACCATCGAGACTGTAGGAGAACTGCACGAACAACTGCTCGGCCGCTACCCGGACTTCCTTGCGTTTGCCGTTTGTATCTCTTACACTTGCATCCTGGGTGAGTAACTACGATGTATGTACAATTGTGTGGTAAAAGGTGCGCAGTTGTTATTTGCTTTAGAGGTTCAATCAATCAATTTAGGGATCGTATATACACATTGTGGTTTCTGACAGTCTGTGTGTGTTATCAAGTGAAGAAAATAACTGTAGAAACTACAGGGACGAGAATTTACTGAAAAATAACAAAACTGACTAACACATTCACTTTTTCATATGTAGTGGAACATATGTAGTACACCCCATGGACATAAAAAGTGTTCAGGAACTTCCAGAAAAAAAATTTCAGCTACGCACACACCTATTTGATATTTCTTTGATTACATTTCTTTTCCAACTTAATTTTATACCGGCACAAAGCTGATTGAATTGAACCAAATTGGTTTTTTATTAGAGCTACATTTAAGTTTATTTCTAATATCAATGGTTGGAGTGAGTTGCTTTTTTTACACTAGTCCCTACTACATTAGAGAAATATTTATTTTCTGCCCTAGATGCGAGGTATGGTAAAGTAACATAGGTTTAGAAGTGGGAAATATTTTGTTGTTGTAAAAAACAAATATTTTAGAACCCCCTTATCATTTGATATCAATCAGCTGAAGTCAATTCTTCTCAAAACATTACTGAAAAGTGTCAAAGCCTCGCTGTAACAAAACTCCATTAACGTAAAACTAATAAATATCATGTGCATAGGATTTTACAACAGAACTAGTCTTTTCTAATTATTTAAATCAATGATTTACAAGTCCTAATTTGTTCTTGTTCACATGTAATCTCGAACATACTACACATCTGTTTGTTTCCTAAATCCAATAAACCAAAGACAATGTTATGTCCAGCTATTGGGGTAAAGGGATCAGCTCTTGTCAACAGTCTTCTCACCCTTGTCAACCTAGCAGTCATGACACTAGTCATCGCAGTGGGCTTCACCTACGCAAACATCGACAACTGGACTCTAGATCGTAAGTTACTCACAATGGGGACCTGATCTAGCGCAGTAGCGTGGTAGAGCAGAGTGGTCCTAATATTTTTAGAATTTAATGATATCTAAGTGATAATGCTGCAATACTCTAGTAGAAAGGTTGAAGTAATGTAAAACGGTTTCTGGCTAGAGCCTTACATCCAAACAAAACTTTCTATTCATGCTATTTTATAAAGAAGTTATCTGGCATGCCAACTTTTAATAACTTCATTAACTTCACCATACCCTGAGTGTGTTCTTCTTCAGCTCTAACATTATTTTAACCACACCATTTTTTCCACCTCTTCTTTGGGATGTGAAACAGTCTCTGAGAATCTCACTGTATGAAACACTTTTGACCAGGAAACTATTGTAGAATCTCCCTTAGTAATTTTGGAAGGGACTGAAATTAGGTTAGTTAATTGAATATACAAAGATAATAGAAAATCAGTAAACTATATTTTGATTCCATACCTTTGCTCTTTGATGAGAGGTATATACATATACAAGTCGTGCTTTTTATTCAGTTGAGGAGTTTTTGCAGAATGTAGATTTTTCAACGCTTAAATGTGAGGCCAAGCAGTCTTGATGATTCTTTGTTCGTGTTATGGTATTTTCCCTGTTAATTTCAAAGTTTTTATTATTACTGATGCTTTATCCTTTTAAGATTCTTTTAACTTTATTTTAACATTTTCTGTGGAATATTTAATATTTTATATAACATATGTAACAAAACATGTTGACCTTGTCTATTGTAATGTTTATATTACCAAACGACAATAAAGATATATTATCTATATAATTAATACGCTACATGAAACTTTGTCGGTTGAACTCCACCGCCATTTCTTAACCGATTTTATCCATTGACGTCTCATTGGAAAGAGCGTGTCACGTAGATTTGCAAACTGGCCTTACATTTTTGAAAAAGTCCCTTGGGCTCTGCCCCAGTGGCTTTGAAAGTTCCCATGTTATCCTTATGGAGAACATCATTGTTTACATTTTGATCAGCTGTATAATTTAATTGCTGATATTTATTTTTCAATTCAATGAAACGCATTGAGTACATTTATTTACAATTCAGTTTGTGTCAACATAACCCCCAAGACGGAACGATAAATACACAAATTTAAGATACAACCATACTAAGGTTGTATCTTAAATTTGTGTATTTATCGTTGTTTTGTGTCAACGGATCGTGTTAGCATGATTGTAACTTTTTAATGCCTTCGACGCTACGGCAACGAAACAGTCAGGAGGCGTATTGTGATAGCCCGCAGCTACAGAACAGTGGCGCGTAATAGGCTGAACTCATCCACAGTCAGTACCTGACCCTGGGCAACCTCAACTATTAGATTACAAATGCGCCCTAACACTACCCCAAAACGACTTTTCATTTTCAATTGGCCCTCTAGCAAAGACCTGTGTTGCCTGTACAGCGAGGCATTTTGAGAAGGAGAAAACCGGCCGGAACGCTTTAGGTTTATCAATAACGAAGATAAACATGGACAACCTTATATGGATATAAGTCAGGAAATGTTTGTAGAAAACATTAAAAAGCAATATAATATGATACAATATTTACAGGAAATGTTGATTACTGTTATATACATCGTGAGTATCTCCATGAGTTACACACCGGTAATCTTTGAGTTGACTCTTTTAAACTTATTGTAAATATGACTGTTATTCGTTTTGAAATGACTCCTGTAATACTTTGCAATTGCTCGAATTCGAGCAACATGTACACTAGTTATTATTATTACATCCCAATATAATGGATTACATTTAGTGGTGTGGTAAAAAAATCAGGGATAAGTACTTCATGCATGCGAAGATTAAAGAGACACTCGGGGTACATTTAAAAACAGAGATGAATGGAGCATGTAGCCTATGATAAATTTCTGTAACCAACTATGGTCAAAGTTCATATATTTTCTATAGCTTCAATAACTTATCAAAGCTCAATAAACGATAGTTGTCCAGTTTTGAACAATTCAAAAGTATGTTGCATGCAATGGTGATTGAAAGGTGACACAGATCAACATTTTACTGTTCACCATTCTTTACCCAACTTTTTTCATTGTTATCAAACAACTGTAATTTAACGGCAAATGTTGTATTTTTAGAGAAAGGTTTCCTACCCTACGGATTCTCAGGGGTGGTGGCCGGTGCTGCAACGTGTTTCTACGCATTCGTTGGTTTTGACAGCATTGCTACTTCCGGAGAAGAGGCTCGAGACCCAGCTTTTTCCATTCCTATAGCAACCATCACCTCTATGACTCTAGTCTGCATAGGTAAGTGGAGTGGTTGATATCTGACTTGAGGCACCATAAGAGTTGAGGTAGAGCGCCCCTCTCAATGCTTCTGCTCCTACAGAGGCAATATTGTGTTCAGCACAACGTCGAGCAGTATAATAGTACACAAAATCAGTATTTGCTATTTATAAGATCATATTGTGCACATGTTCTACATGTAATAGTCTTTTTGACCTGACAAAGTAACAAAACTCCCAATGCTATCGCCTTATAGAGACCATTCAATAGGATTGAATTTCAGCCCTTCTAATTTCAAAAAGAATCTTATTGGTGAAATTTAAAGACTAAAAAGAAATTGTCCATTGAATGAACTGGTCTAGTAGTAGAGCACAGGACTATTCCACAAGGTCCAGGGTTCCATTCCTGTCAAACACCGATGGATTTGATTTAAGTGATAATGTTCCGACCCTCTAGGCTTAGCCTGGAGTAATGTGACGATTCTAGGCTAGAGCCTATAGCGTCAGACTTGATGGTAGGACACAAAAAAATACTAAGCTGTTTTCAAGGCAAATTCCATTCTTGTGACAACATTTTTCTGTGTAGGCTACATCTTGGTGGGTGCTGCTCTCACGCTGATGGTCCCCTACGATCAGATCAGCCCTACGGCCGCCCTGCCTGAGGCGTTCACCACTCTCAACCTACCCTGGGTGCGCTACGCCGTCACGCTGGGAGCGTTGTGTGGCATGACTACAACACTACTCGGCTCACTCTTCGCCTTGCCTAGATGCATGTACGCCATGGCTGCTGACGGGCTTATCTTCTCTTTTCTCGGAAAAGTCAATAAAACCACCCAGGTTAGTAATCAGAGCTTGTAATTGTACTTGCCTGTAGGCAATAACACTGAAATAAATTATAAGAATGTTTAATTTTTTATTTGAATCATGCGTACTGCCTTTGACTATTAATACAACTTCAGTATCCAATAGTCAATGGTACTGCTAGCCAAAGTGCATCATGGACTTAAGAGAAGAATGGGTTAGAGGATTTAGAGTTTTGCACTTTCACTTTTAAAATGTGTTGGAATCAAAATAGCAATCATCTGATTACTAGAGCCCCTTGCTCCTGCTACCGATTTCAACTGAGGAGTGAGGATCACTGGATAAGGCTCAGTTTTTTCTTCTAGGTTCTTCCATGAAATCTTTCGAATTATTCGGCTACTTATTATACTTATTGTATTTGTGTAAAAGACCTCCATTAACTGGTCATCGACCTAAATTTAAATAAGTTGGTTATTGTTTGACACAAATGTCCTAACCCATCATCCTCACAGGCCCGCGGTTTTCATGCTTTTGCAATTGGTTCAACATTTGAAGCATCTTGTCACTGTCTCAATATAATGAATGGTAAATGAAAATGATCAACAAGACAGAGCTTATCAAATTTTGCAGGTGCTTGGTCATCATAATCTCACATTAAAATATGCACCACTATATTGAAACATAATCATAATGATCAAACTGATGATACTTTTGATCAATGCAGGTTCCGATCATCAACCTCGCAGTGTCGGGGATAAGCAGTGCTTTGATCGCGCTCTTCTTTGACTTGGAGAAGCTGGTGGAGTTTATGTCCATCGGTACGCTGTTGGCCTACACCATCGTCAGCGCATCTGTCATCATACTGAGGTACAGGCCCGAGGTCACTCCGCTGCTCAGGGAAGACAGCTCACTTAGCGAGGTCGGGACTCCGTCATCCGGGGTAAATCATCTCGTAATTTGTTTTTAGAGGTAGTTGGTTTACATTGGAGCACTTCAAGTAATGACTGAGTGTACCAATTGAACTGTGTACCTTACATGATATTTGATCTCTTGTAAATTATATCTACAGGAAAAGACAGTCAGTTTGAATTTGTACAAAAGTGGAAGAGATGTCTTGAGAAAGACCAGCCAAGTAATGTCCTTGTAATATTAAGGTATATTCATTCTTGAATAACCCTATGATGGCTTCAATACAAATGGAAGATTCTCTGAAAAAATGTCCTATTACTTAAGTCCAAAATTAGATTATACTACAAAACTACACATATTATGCATGTACAGTAGACTTTCATGTACCACAAATGTATGGAAGTATTAGCGTACCAACCCGAATAAACATTACACAGATACTAAATGATTTACACTAATATCCAAAATTTACAATGACTTACCAGGTGATAGAGTTTGGCGTTGGTCCGGCAGGCCGGTTGAGAACAGGTTACTCGTGGCTAGAGCCGGTTGTCGGCCGGTGTGAGCCGGGTGCGGCAGTCAGCGCTTGCGTATTCATCTTCAGCTGTTTCTGCGCTGCTTTGTGTCTCCATCTTCACTGGACCAATCAGCAACAGCAGCTCAACTCTTGGTGGACGGTGCTGATCACTGTGTTCTTCATATTTGTCCTCGTTGCTTGTGAGTAGCAGTGAAATAACCAGAAATATATAGTGTCAATTACAAAACAGCTGCTATGATGCCACAATTCTGTGTTACTGACTGAGTCACAGACCAGCTTAGTCAGTTTTCTCAAAGAGAATCTAGTTTAATGAGCCTCACAAAGTGTGTTGCCTCTCTCTTAGTGTTTCAATCTACTTGATAGTTGATGGAGAAATAAAAATGCCATGGATTACACTGATTAGTGAGTAGGCCTTTCTGTGTGAAATGATTAAAAATTCTGTGTGATTAAAGCAGTATTTTTAGCAGGATACTCTGTTAATGGCTCAATCAAATTATTTCATATTCATTACAAAACTGGCTACGGCTTAAGCTTGAGTATCCACTCCAAGTTTCTAGTCAATCCTTCATTCTTCTAACCGAAATTCTTTCAGGTATCGTGATCATCCACGCTCATGAGCAGAACAAGAACGGTCTGGGCTTTGCAGTTCCCCTGGTCCCCTTAATCCCTGCTATCAGCATCCTCTCCAACATTCAACTGATGGTGCATCTCAACACTCTGACATGGCTCAGGTTCATGATCTGGATGGCGTTTGGTAAGTTCCGTTTGGTTCAACCAAACAAATTTGGTATACAAGGGTTGTTTGTAAATTAAAGTTGAGCATCGTGGCAGCCAAGTTAGCTAGCTCACACTCACTAAGTCATGTCCCACATTTTCTACATCCCAACACTTCTGCATAAACATCTGTCAACTGGCAACAGTAATATACAGGGTTAATGTAATTCACAGAATGTAATTCAAACTTGGTGGGAGTATCAATTCTCTTTCACTCTATATGTTTTTGAATACTCTGATATGACTATTGCCCCTAGAAAATCTGCTTGAATAGAACTTAAAGGAACACACAGTTGGTCTCCGATTCAAACTAGCTCAGTTGGATACTGAACATCTTGACTTCTTTTTATCAATATAATGTATAACTTGATATTCACAGGTCTCTTAGTCTACTTTTTGTACGGGATTCATCACAGCAAGGAGAACGACACTGCCACTTCATACTCCGTTCTGCTCGGCTCCGGGGAGGCAGGAAAAATCCGTTGGGGCTCCATTGGAGCAGCTAAGCGGAGGTCGGTAGCAGAAGACACCAAACCCATCGTAGACGAGGAGGAGCTGCCCCAATAAATGTCTTGGTCTTGGAAAACCACAACTCAAAAGTAAACCTCAGTTCATCAGTGATGGGAATTTGGAAGTCAGAATATTTGAATTTTAAGTTCTCTAGTGAAATATGCTTACATTTCACACCCTTCCGAAGAGATGAATTAAGGGAATTCATTTAAGTTATTCAACCTACAATTAAATATTAATTTGGCTGAGAGCCTTGACAAGTCTGGAGTAATCTGACTTAAATTTTTAAATCTTATCGAGGTTTGCAAAGAAACGTGATTAGGGGTCCAATCAAGGGAAACCAAATCAAGGGCATTTGAAAACGACACTTGTAATCAAAGGTTTTGCTATTGAGGTTCCACTGTAGTTCTTAATAATCAGATGAAACCAGCGATTCACATTCTTAGTTTAGTTAGGCTAAAATCTATGAGGCAAAGGCGTTAGTTAAAAATGTCTCTCTACTTTATTTGCTGGACGTTAACCTTTAAGTACTGGTTTTAGAAATGTTTTCCAAACTATTTTGTCAAGATAATCACTTTAACTGAATCACCCCACTCTGAAGTGGATGTGAAATCAAGTTCTAAGATAGAATATGCATGTTTTGACAAAATGTGTCTATTTGAAGGATTTTTGTTATTTCCTTCAATCAAACATATCTTTGTAAATGTAATTACGATCTCTGAAAGTATAACCGTAAGTCCGTGTAAGTATCTTGACACAGAATTTTGTCAGTTGGTAGACCATCTCAATAGGTACCACATGTTTTGGCTTCAAATTTTTAAATTTAATGGGAAGTCTAATGGTAACTCACTTGGAATGTACTGTAAAGGAGCAAGACGAGGTTTAATGGTTAAGCGGAACTAATGTCTCACACCGTTTTGTCTGAAAGCCATCTGGTTCAAATCCTGTCAATCACCAATGCTTTTAGCTGCGTAATATTATGACTCAATGGCTCAAACCCAGCTTTATGAGTAGGTCAAGCTATCTAGAAAATAAACATATGGGCCTCTCACATAGAGAAATAAATTTCTTATTGAAAAAAATCCCTAATCTGGGAAATATTTGATATTTTTTTATAGAAATAAGTCAATTAATAGGCTACTAAATTATACGTCATCCTTCACTTTGGGTAACATAGGTAATGTTTCAAACGCCAATGCATTTTATTGGAAGTTATATATGTGGCAAGAAAACCGATCCATTTTCTGCAGCGCACTGTTCAGCAGCAGGTCGTCTGAGAGTGGTGGGGGAAGGCTCGTTGGAAAGCCTACATGACCATTATCTGTATTCATAGAGCAGTGGTCACCTGAGCAACATGTGTTAGCTATCGAGTCAATTTAACTTTACTTTTTTTAAACGACTAAATAACAAACACACGTTGCTCAGGTGACCACTGCTCTATGACTACATATAATAGCATTGTGTAGGCTTTCCAACCCCCACCAGCCTCACACGACCTGTCGTTGAACAGTGTGCTGCAGGAAATAGATCGGTTATTTTGCCGCACCCTGTATTAAGGGAAGTCTAGTTAAAACAAAATACTTAAGCAACATTGTCTAGTGCAAATGAAAAAAGGTTTGTGTAAAGTGTCAAACAGAACTGTAAAAATTTAAATAGGAATGAGTATAAAGCTTCCAGCACTGGTAACTTAGAATGTAGAGTGCAGTGCAAGTAGGTTAGTTGTACAAATCTGTAACCACATACTTAGAACATTTTTAGGCATTGACTTAAACCAGAATACAAAAAATTTAAACAGGGAGGGCGGATAAAAAGTGGCTAATATAAGTTCTTCATACAGCAAACGTATATTACAAATTCAATCATGAAAATAGACTTCCTTGAAAGAACCCCAGTAAAATATTTTATCAAGTTTTAAATATGTAAGGATAATGTAGAAGTTATGGTGGAATACGGAAAGAAACGTTAATCATTGATAATCATTGGTAACAGTGAAACATGTCTTTACATTTAAGGTTGTGTTGTTTAAATATCCTGGCTTTATACTGAATTTTTTATTTTTATAGATTATAAATTTATTTCTGTAAAATTGATGTAGGCCTATAACAGTGTGTGATAGTTACCACTTTAATTCAATAGGTAGTAAAAAATATAGTAATAATTATTCAAGTTACCACACACCATGTAAACAGTTATATGTGTTACAACAACAACAATTATATATGTTTTTTAAAAAGTATTTAATCTTTGCTAATTTTATTTAAATATATTGTGTTACACAGTAAGTTAATTTTGAAGAATATATTAAGATACAAGAATCTAGTTTTTTTACTTTGCCGTTAACCCATTTAGAAGCATATAACACATGTATGAATATAAGAGCAATTCATTTTGGACATACAACATAAAACAGAATATTTTTAATCGAATAATACAATTTCTGTGAGTTGTATTTTTTATTGTTTAATTTTAATTGTAATGCATCTTGGAGATCAGTGAAATAGTATGGTTGAGAGCACCGACTGATCAAATGACATTAACATTCATACAGGCTTCCTTTTGGTAAATTATAGTCCAACTTTTATCACAAACGAAAAATTAATGATAACAGTTACATATCATCAACAGGTACTATCAATGGATTTTTTGTACTAGGATAAATAGAACGGTTTTATAAAAAATGTTATCCTACGATAGACAAAGAGAAGCAATGACATATTTTATATTTCATTCACAGTTCACTCCCAAATAATTAATTGAATGATTAATTTCATAATTGAATAATTTTGGCTATCGTAAATTGGTCTAAAAAAATAAACAAATCTACTCAAATAACTCAATCTTGGTTGTAAAAACTAAAATGTTTAAAAATATTGGTGTCAATCTACTCCTCAAGTATCTTTATATGAATGAACACATCTAGCTCAAAAAAGGTCTTTACTGACCTTTCCTCAATTGGACATGTTGGATTTATCAATAGAAACTATTGAATTATTTAATGTTAACTTAATTATTTGTTACAGTATTTTATTAAGGTATTGGTGTTATTACTAATTAGTAATAGGAATGTAAATATTGGTGTCTATTTTCAGAAGTACCAGAACTGCATTTACATATAATTTACTGCCGTAGTTGTTACGTATTTTATAAAACGTAAACTAAAAAGTTTAATGTTGATATAAGTTGCACCAGTTTGTGGCGTTTATGTTGATAAGTTATTTTCAAACTGGATTTTGCAATCAGGAAGGATGGTATTTTTCTGTTACAGAATCAGGACAGAATGCTTTTAACTTATACTTTTAAGATAATACTATCAGCAGCAAAGTAATGACAAAGTATTACCACAAAATAAAAATGTTTGGTTTTGTTCCTCTAGATACCATAAGGTGTTATTAAAATAAAGTTGTTATGTTATTTTATTAGATTTAATATATTCAGGTTATGTATCCATAAAATATCAAAGACATTGTTAAACATTTTTAACTCTACTATAAAAGATTCCAAAAAGGCTGTAAACTATTATATTTTATAGTTAGCTAGGAAATATAAATGTACACTGATTAAGCTTTAAATGTTAGCCTCCAGGCCTAATAATACAATAGTATATTTTTTAAGACCTTAATTTTCAAGTAGCAATAGTTGTTTACGGACAAAGTTATGTTGTTTTGTTAGTCTTAGTTGATTAGGCCTACCTTTATATAATTTTTAGAATATGGATTTAGATTATACCTACGTGTTACACTGCACAATTAATCTAGTGCACAAATATTGAATATAAAATGAACCAAAGATATTATTTTAGATGGAAATAAAAAAATATTTCTTACACAGTGTTTTCCTAAAAAGTAACCTAAAAAACTTTCCTTAATCGAAAACCTCTTGGTAGTTGTTTAAACCTTACTGATAAGTTTTCACACACAGGTGGCCAGCCTGTACTGTAGGATTCGTACAAAGCAGACTATTTAATTAATTATAAACCTCCTCTACTCTGTTGGACACAGACCTGGAATTGCTCATCAAAGTACCTACTTCAATCAGATACCATACCATATGAGACTTCTATGGTTTGAATGGTTTAACAACTATGTTGAACCATGTTTTAATGGTCACTATTACTGCAACCATTATAGAAAATAATATATACAGTACTTAATGACGGGGAATAGTTTAGGAATCTATTGTGAAACATTTTCCCATTTGGAGTTCAAAATGTATTTTTTTTATTCATGTGATAAAAGATTTCACTAACAACAAGAGAAGGTGCAATAAATGAGTTTATGTAAAACACAAATTGTATCTACTATTTATTTTACAAAATTGTATAAAAACTATAAAACAAAAATACAAATCAGTCTTCCTAAAATCAACAATGATTGCCATATTTCAACTAGACTAAATTAAACAATTAAAACATAACTGTTCCAACAATCATTTTAATTCACCTCCATTGTAATGAATCTATAATAATAAAATATTTCCCGTTTTAAGGTAATATGTTATAATACCTTTAAAATATATTTGATTAAAACAAGTGCAGATTAAATACTAAATAAAAACAGAATTGTTCAACAATAGTGTAGATAATTTCAAATTGACAACATTTTCTAGGATAAATGTGTTTAGAATAATCAAATTTCTTGGATAATATAAATTAATAATACCTCAAATGGAACTTTTCTAGCTCACAATCAACCCAATGTTTGCAGAATCGCTTGACGATTGAATTTGAAGTTCATCCATGACGGTGCCTTAAAGTCAAGTGGCAGTGGGTCGTTCGGTAACTTTTTAGTACCATTTTTGACTGGTTTGGATCTTTCTCCATCTGAAAAACCCCAAATTAAATTTTTTAAATCAACAAACTTGAACATCTAATGGTATAATATTTGAACTAGAGATGGAACTGGTCTCAAAATTTTGGGAAATTTGCTTAACAATAATATTTTACTAATTTTTAGCAGAACTACATTAAATTTTAGATTTTCTTGGGACAGGATTTTTTTTCCAAACCGTCAGCAATTTCGGTGTGATTGCATGGAATGATCATTATGTCTTGCGATCCCTGGAGAAGTCCACAATATCACTAAACTTGCAGAAACCAATGTTGTCTCCACAATGCAGGAAGATGTGGATTTCCGTAACATACGTTTTTCTTGTTGCACACGTATAAAATTCTTATCCCAAACTACAATACAATCCCCTCCATCCCTAGTTATGAGGGATTGTTACAGTAATTTTATTCAGTTTTAAGTTTTATGAAGTTGTGTGATCTAATTCAAAGTTTCAAAGTCATGAAAAATTATTTCATTTTAGTTAAGCTTGCATTAGTAGTTCTAAATTCACATTTTTATTTGTTACTCATAATGGTCCATATATTATCTTTTTGGGCTTAAAAATAGTTAGCTAACACATCTACAGAAAATACTGACAGAGAGAAGAATGTACAGTAGACTCCCTCTTATCCAGACCCCTTTTAACCAGGGCATCGGTTTAACTGGACTACACTTAAAATGACATCTCTTTAACCGGACAAAATTTTTATCAATACGTCGGTTTAACCGGACTAGATCGGCAGGAAGTTGGCGGTACTGAAACGACTGTTCTCGTGGAAAAGATTTTAGACCAGTGATCAGGTGTCTAAATACAATGCTCTCCTAAATTTAAGTCAAATATTTGGGTTTCATAACAAGTTTTTGGGGACGTCGTTTTAACCGAAAACCCGTTATCTGGACTGGCCTCGGTCCCGAGGAGTCTGGATAAGAGGGAGTCTACTGTACATTTGAAAGACTGGTAACAGTATCACCAACAACTTCTTTGTTTGAATTTAATTTTTTGTTATAATTAGTTTATGATATTTTAAACAGTCATTGTGGACAAATGAATAAAATAACACCAATAACTCGGGTAAAATAACTGACTATTCAAAAACAAGACAAAATCAAATTTGGCAGACTCGTGTTGGTTCAACCACAGTACTATCCCCGTCTTTCTGGATTACGCTAAAGTTCTACATTTTACATTTATGAGATTATTTCCATAGTGTTTACAGTATACGTTTCAAGTAGTAACAGAACGAGAACGCACCTTGATTGGCTAACAGCTGCTTTCTTGCCTTTGTGTTCTGCTTGCGTTCCTTGCGGCCGGAATTACGAGGAGGAGACGCGCAAGAAGATTTGACTGCTTGCGGAGTCTGTCTTGAAGTGTCTATTTCTGTCTGTAATGGTAAAAAATAGTTACAATCCTACTAATATTATAAATGAGAAAGTTTGGATGTATGGATGTATGGATGTATGTTTGTGACAAGTGAACGCGAAAAATACTGGTCGGATTGGGCTGAAATTTGGCATGATGATAGCTCACATTCCCGATTAACATATAGGCATATTCTTATTTCAAAAATCCTTTCGGGCTCCGCCCCAGTGGCTCTGGAGTTTCCCATGTTAACCTTATGAGAAATGGAATTATTGAATCTTAACAGCTGTTTCAATTAAACAAGTTGGTTCTGTTCTATGATGTTCAATAGCATTAAAGTTACAAGGATTACCAACAGGATGCAGCACTATTATTTCTTTTACATTTATGACAACAGCTAATTTGCAACCAAAAGGTGAGTGAGCGTAGCGAACGAACTTCAACCTGGACTTTAACCTGTAGGCAAGTGAGCGCAGCGAACGAGCTCCAACCTAAAGTTGAGTGAGCGTAGCGAACAAACTTCAACCAGGACGTGATTGAGCCATGCGAACGAGATAATCTTAAAAATTAAGAAGTTAAACGGGGCAAAGCCCGCGGGTTACAGCTAGTTTACAATAAAAACTCAAATTTTGTCTACAAAAAGAACATGCTGTTATGATCAAAGATTAAGCAAAAATTTTTCTCATCCAATCTGCAGGAATAACAGAATTCAGATTGTGTTGGTCTAAAAATTAATGAATGAATAAGCTGTGATTTCAGCTATAAAGATTTTATCAAAATGTGCAAGTAGTAAAAACATTAAATACATTTCACAAACAATTTTACAACTATGGATACAAAATATTGCTACAGTAGACTCCCTCTTATCGGGACACCTTTTAACCAGTTGGTTTAACCGGACTGGAATAGATTTGAGACCATTGATCACACGTCTAAATACAATGCTCTCTTAAATTTAAGTCAAATATGCATTTAAACGGTCCGTTTTTACGAGTTTTTGGGGGACGTCGGTTTAATCGGAAAACCCGCTATCCGGACTGGCCTCGGTCCCGAGGAGTCCAGATATGAGGGAGTCTACTGTATAGCCTGATTGAATAGATTTCAACCATTTCAGGTCTTTGAAATCCATTCACATGAGTTAACAAACTAAATAAAAAAGTTGTTTTATTAAAACGTATTTATTAGACATGAGATTTTTTGTAAAAAAGTCTAAAGTGAACTATTTGACCCAACAATCAAGAACAAGGTTTCATTACTTGACTTTTTTAAGTCATAGTGCTCATTTTTGACAATCCAATGATTCTTTTACATTCTTGATCCTGTAAGAAGCAGATTAACAAGAGTCAAATGTAAATGGTAGATCTTGGTCTTCAGGAGATGACCACGTAGATGAAGTAGGTGAATAGTTGCCGTCATTGCAGAAGCGGCACAGCAGTCCCAAGGCACTAACACTAGTGAATAGTTGGTATTAAGTGCTGTATCGCGTCTGCAATGTCAGTAACTACTTCATCTTCGTCTACATAGTCACCTGAAGACTAGGATCTACCTTTATCAACTGTGAAAGCCTATCACACAGAGAGAAAACTGTATTAATATTAAATGTGAAAAGTGGTTCAATCTTACTATCGTCATTCCAAATCGGCGACACTGTTCAATTTGTAAAAGCATGCTGAACATATACTTGACGGTTGCGTTCACCTGCGGCACCATAGACGAGGTGTTTCTCTTAGCTTTAGGTCCGACACTGGTGCTACCCAGCATCCCCTCCATCTCCCTCGGTCGTACCTCCAGCTCACCCATAGACTTGTACCTCTGTCTGCCTCGTGTGTTCTTCTGCTGCCTTTCTTGTATCCACTTTCTGATCCTCCTGCAATCCAAGATAAAAGGTAAGGAATAAGTCTATATAAATAAAGAATAAGGCCTCCCTTGCCGTACAGGTCTTCATGAGGTAGGAGCAAGATTAGAAATGATATCCTCCAGGTTGAGGTTGAACCCTAGGCTGACAACAAGCTCTGTAAAAAATCCATAACTATACTTAACGTATAACCAACAAACAGCCTCGGATCAGGAAGGAACTACAATGAATCAGACCAATATTTGTTAAAAGGACTTGAGAATTGGAACATACTAGAAGGGCCAGATGGAGAAAGATTTGCAAAAATTGAGAACAAGGCAAGGAGATTCAGCAGACTGGGAGCAATGGAGGCTTGTTAGCGAGGTCAAATGCCACGGCCATGGGAGTAAGTAAGGAATAAGTAACAGGAATATGGGATTAGAACTATATGGTAAGATAAAAGATGAATATGATTGGCAAGTCTTTCGATAATATAAAACAAAATAATATATAACATAGACTTAAGATCACTATTATACTACTGCAATAATACATCCTCAGCAATAAATCAAATAAAATAATAATATCTATGGTTCTTACCGTCAACGCAATCAGGGGTAATATTCCACTACGGCCGTTTCGGAGATGACTCCATTGTCAGGTGCGTAGTGGTACACTAAACTATAGTCTTGTCACATTTAAAACAAATTGTCTTCATTTGCATTGCGCCAAATCAAATTTGTTCAACCCCTGACGCAATGCAATGAAGACAATTCGTGTTAAATGTGACAAGACTATAGTTTAGTGTACCACTACGCACCTGACAATGGAGTCATCTCCGAAACGGCCGTAGTGGAATATTACCCCTGATTGCGTTGACGGTAAGAACCATAGATATTATTATTATATTTTCAATGTTATACCTGATGAAAGGAAGTACCATGAAGAAAGAGTTGGTGTTCACCCCCATTTTCACTTTCGGAGTGACGTCTTTCTTGTTGCTCGGTAAGTCAGAAACTGGGAACCATTCCACAGCCTTGATCTCGTTCCTTGTTTTTGGTTCAAACTTTGTATCCAGAGGTACTCCAGGGATGATGTACAGCCTGACCAGCTGTTCATGAATTGTAGCCTCAATGTATTCATTTTGATTGAGAAGATTACTGATGTCAAATCCCGTTTCTTCAAGAACCTGTTGAGAGAGAAGTTAATTTAAAAAATGAAAAATATTATCAATAAGCTAGCACTCAGGAATGTCAAGAAAGTAACATACAACAAAAGGGCCAAGGTTTTTAGGATTTTTAAGAGGATAATAGGCTTAAACCTGAATGGGAAAAAGTCCAAACTGTCATAAAAACACAAAACTTTACACTATGTACACAAACAATTTGAATATTTCACTTTTACTGACAGCATTTTCAACTAAGGAAGAGAGTGTTTTCTTTAGGCCCAATATGGTGGCAAGTGAAATCCTTAATTGAAAATGCTGTAAATGACAGTAAGATATTCTAATGTTGTGTGTATGTAGTGTAAAGTTTTGTGTTTCTTGTGCCAGTTTGGACTCTTTCCCACTCAGGTAAGTCTGCTATCCTTTAAAAAAATCCAAAAAACTCAGGAATGTTAATTTGTTTATAATCTATCGTATAGTCATTTGTTTTGTTTGGTATATTGTTACATGAATCCAAAACCAACAAAATATTTTAGAAAGAGTTCCCATTTGTTTAAAATAAATAACAAAACCCTTCACAAGACGTACCTCTCGGGCAGCGCACTTATGAGGCTCCTCGTCCTGGTTCACTTTGCCCTTGGGGAATCCCCAGGAGCTCTTAGCCCAGTAGCTCTGCACCAGTAGCACATGTGTGAGGTCCTGGGACAGTAGGATGGCGCCAAACGTCGGCACCGCCTGCTTGTACTCCTTCCATGTGCTGATCACCTCGTCAACGTTGCTCACGTACTGTTGCAGCGTAGGAATATGCTGAAGCAATGCATATGAGGATTTCAGAATAGTTCACTCTTCAATTTAAGAATAAAACTATTTGTAATCAGGATGTCTACCTTAATGTGAATCTAGGTCTGGATCATTTAAGAGACCTTGCTGTGACATAGATTATCTACAGATATCAATTTATTTAACACTTTTAATAGGCCTACAATAAAACCTCACTAACTAGACAATTTGTGGAAGAAGAGATTGTCAAGTTTGGGGGGGGGGGGGTTGTAAACTTAAACCAAAACATACAATTAAAACTAACTGTTCTTAAAAACCTGTTTTTTTCATGTACCCTGTCTCCTGTTGATTGTCGAGTTAGTGTGAGGTTCTTTTATTGTAGCCTACCTAAAAGAATAAATTGTACTAGATTAGCAAAATATAGTATGCTGAACCAACCAGGTTGAACGTTAAAGCCTAAATTGCCATTGTGTATTAATGAACTGTACAAAAATTAATAGACGTGTGCGAGTGGCTCATCATTAATACTTTAAAGTTAAATTTAACTCTACCTTATGGACAAAATGGCTTTTTCAAAAGCAGAATATAGGCTAATAAAACTACTTATTATTTAGCATTACAACGACTGTCATCTAGAAGAAGAAATGATTGTTGTTAGGTAATATGACCAATTTGTCGCTTACTTATGAACGTGAAATAGCACCAAAAACTTACTTAGAAAATCCTTACAGTTTCTGTTAACCCTTTGTCTGTGACACCACGGAGTTTTCCTCCGGGTGCATTTGTTTTTTTTAGACAAATATGTATTATCGCCAGCCTGTAACTTTACGAATACCGTAACAGTAGGGCCTACCTTGCATGCATCTTTCTAGGAACCGGTTGAAAATTATTTAGATCTCACACCTCCCCCGCAAAACCCCTATTAATCAGTTGAAGCCCAAACAATCGCGTAGCACGGAGACCGGCTCCGTCAGTCACCAATGGTGTTGTTGTTTTTGTTTGCTTTATATTTTTTATAAATATATAAAGTAAGAGTTTTTATTTATTTCATGAACAATTTTATTTATTATACATGGTTTTTATATGTTTTAGTATTAATATATATATATAAATATTGTTTGTCTAATGTTTTAACACACGGAAAAAAATCCATGTGTCACCGATCGTGTTGCTTATGTTTGCTATGTATTTAATAAATATGCAAAGGAAAAGTTTTTATTGATTTTATTTACAATTTATTGGTTATAAATGGCTTGAATAACTTAAGTTTACATGCTTGAATTATTTATATGTACAAAACACATTTTTTGTCTAATTTTTCAACACCCGGAAAAAAACTCTGAGCGTCACCAATCATGTTTTAAAATCAAAGACACAGACGAAGGGTTAAGCATGTAACTTATACCGCAATACCTGGAATATGTGAGTTGTAAATTCTTTCATGCTGCAAGGTTTGAACTTGACTGGGTACGATTCAGCACAGTAGAAATCTAAATAGAACCAGTGAGCGAGTTCAACCTGAAACAGGACCCTCACTGGGTCTCGTCTCTCTTCTTCAGGAATGTTGATAATGAATCGGCTGAAAATATTACCTGATTAGACTTAACTTATGGTTTCATCCAAGTAGCCTATAATATACTTAAGTTATATATAATATAATAGGCTATATAATACAATATAATACGGGTATACTATAAGTTAAGTTAGTAAAGAAGCACCTGTGCTGATAGTTAAACCAATTATGACCATGTCAGTCATACAAAATGCGGTTAGTCAGCATTGAAATAACTTAAGTAGCCTAATGGTTAAATTCAGTTGATATACCTATCAAGAATTTGAAGCGAGTTTGGGCCTGTCAGAGACCAACATAGGTAAAATTATAAATAAATAAAGAAATTAAATTAGCCTATGTAAATAAAAAGAAAGCATTAAGTTAAACCTCATTACTTTGCATTTAAATTTTAAAATTCCCCCTTTTTGCCCCACAAACCTCTCGTCCCAGACCAAACTCCTTCTTGATCCTTGTCATGCCTACCCAAGAAAATATTCCTGGAGCCGCCCCTGGTTAGATACAAAGTGGAATGGAGAGCAAAGATTACCAAACGTCAAAGGTATATCCAGAAAAGGGACCTTGAGTCGATCATTGAAGGCTTATCAGTTCTTATTTAGTCATTAGGTAGGTCGTGCCTTATGCAGATTCGTTAAGTGTTTTGAAAGTTTTTGGACAATTTGGTAATTTTTTGGGTTTATTGTCGTTTTCCACGGACAAATGACGTCATTTTTGGGATCAGCATTGCATTTAGAGTAGCCTAGAATAGGCCAAACATTTTCAAAAATCGGGTGCAGACACTTAAATGCATATTTACCATATAAATATAATATTTAGCACAAAATATGTCTGGAGTAGGCATAGGCCTTTAACTTCAAAGGCAAACCAAATCATGATTAAACCAGCACTTTCCAAATCAAACTGGAAAAGACTAGATATTAAATCCGACCTTTTAGGCTATGGAAATCGGGGAGACTTGGCTAAGTGGTATTAGGTTATTCCAATAGCCATTTAAAGGTAATATTCTTCAGAAAAACTAGAATTACCTGCTTAAATCATTGATAACATCGAGTGGAATTGTATGTTCCCCTGGCTTGCTAGTGAAGTTCAAATCCATCTCTTGCTCTTCTAAAAAAGCAGCTTGAATTAGTACGATATTATTCAGTTTAGTTGACGAAGTTAGAATGAAAAGGTATGTTTTTTATAAACTAATTTATATTCTTCAAAATATATTAAAAACAAAATTGCTAATGTGTACTTGTTCTGTCACAAGATTCATTTCATACCTATTGTATTATAACGATCACTGGCAGACAAGAAAAACAAGTCAGTGACATTGACAAACAAACAAATTGACTACGGAATACGGATAGAAGAGATTGAGTAGAGGTTTTGCAATTTTCCTTGTACTATCGGTTATATTATTTTCTTGCATGAAATGCTGCTGTTCTCTGTTTAGTTTGTATGTATATTTGTTTTTGGTTACTTGATTATGAACCATGATTGTAAGTATTAAAAAATAAAATATTTATCAATCACCAGTAACGCTCTGGCACGGCCGCCTTTAACTCCAGGCCGCGGCTTTCGAACTGGCAACGTCGCAAGTGGTGTTGTAACAGCTAATTTTTTTGGAAGCAACTAATGGTATTTGTGTATTTACGAAAGATTGATTACTGGACTATGACAATATTGACTCCGCTTAAAAATGTACAGATATAGATTTTAATTCATATTGTTTCAATTTTCAATTAATTCTGTATGTTTTATTTTCAATATCTTAATACATTTATGTTCATAAATTAAAAATTAACTCAATAAAGTGCGAATTAATTAATGAACTGATGTCACCTGTCTGCCATGTTATCTTATGGGACGTGACGTCTATCACTGAACAACAACTTGAAAGGAAACACCGATGACTTAATCACTCCATTGGACGCAGCACTAAGAATGTGGCCCTTTAAAGGCACCACCGATGACTCGAACACTTCACTGGACGCTGTACTGAGAGTGTGGCCCTTTAAAGCAACCACCGATAACTCGAACACTCCACTGGATGCTGCCCTGGGAGTGTGGCCCTTTAGAGGCACCAACGTTGACTCGATTACTCCACTGGACGCTGCATTTGAGAGTGTGGCCCTTAAAAGGAAACACCGATGACTTGATTACTCCATTGGACGCGGCACTCAGAATGTGACCCTTTAATGGCACCACCAAAGACTCGATCACTCCACTGGGCGCGGCACAGAGAGTGTGACCCTTTAAAGGCACCACCAAACACCCGATCACTCCACTGAACGCAGCACTAAGAATGTGGCCCTTTAAAGGCACCACCAAAGACCCAATCACTCCACTGGACGCAGCACTAAGAATGTGGCCTTTTAAAGGCACTACCAAAAACTCGACCACTCTTTGGCCGCGGCACTAAGAGTGTGGCCCTTTAAAGGCACCACCAAAGACCCGATCACTCCACTTGACGCGGAACAGAGAGTGTGGCCCTTTAAAGGCACCACCAAAGATCCGATCACTCCATTAGAAGCAGCACTATGAATGTGGCCCTTTAAAGGCACCACCAAAAACTCGATCACTCTCTGGATGCGGCACAGACAGTGTGGCCCTCTAAAGGCACCACCAAAGACCCGATCACTCCACTGGACGCAGCACTAAGATTGTGGCCCTTTAATGGCACCACCAAAAACTCGATCACTCTCTGGACGCGGCACTAAGAGTGTGGCCCTTTAAAGGCACCACCAAAGACCCGATCACTCCACTGGACGCAGCACTAAGAATGTGGCCTTTTAAAGGCACCACCAACAACTCGATCACTCCCTGGACGCGGCACTAAGAGTGTGGCCCTTTAAAGGCACCACCAAAGACTAGATCACTCCACTGGACGTTGCACTATGAATGTGGCTCTTTAAAGGAACCACCAAAGACTCGATCACTCCACTGGACGCGGCAAAGAGAGTGTGGCCCTTTAAAGGCACCACCAAAGACCCGATCACTCCATTGGACGCAGCACTATGAATGTGGCCCTTTAAAGGCACCACCAAAAACTCGATCACTCTCTGGACGCGGCACTAAGAGTGTGGCCCTTTAAAGGCACCACCAAAGACCCGATCACTCCACTGGACGCAGCACTAAGATTGTGGCCCTTTAAAGGCACCACCAAAAACTCGATCACTCTCTGGACGCGGCACTAAGAGAGTGGCCCTTTAAAGGCACCACCAAAGACCCGATCACTCCACTGGACGCAGCACTAAGAATGTGGCCCTTTAAAGGCACCACCAAAAACTCGATCACTCTCTAGACGCGGCACTAAGAGTGTGGCCCTTTAAAGGCACCACCAAAGACTCGATCACTCCACTGGACGTTGCACTGAAAGTGTGGCCCTTTAGAGGCACCACCAAATACTCGATCACTCTCTGGACGCGGCACTAAGAGTGTGCCCTTTAAAGGCACCACCAAAAACTCGATCACTCCACCAGACGCAGCACTGAGGGTGTGGCCCTTTAGAGGCACAACCGATGACTCGATCACTCCATTGGACGTGGCACTGAGAGTGTGGCCCTTTAGAGGCATCACCGATGACTCGAACACTCCACTGGACGCTGCACTGAGAGTGTGGCCCTTTAGAGCAACCACCGATGACTCGAACACTCCACTGGATGCTGCCCTGAGAGTGTGGCACTTTAGAGGCACCATCGTTGACCTGATTAAACTACTGGACGCTGCATTTGAGAGTGTGGCCCTTGAAGGGAAGCCCTTTAATGGCACCACCAAAGACTCGATCACTCCACTGGACGCGGCACAGAGAGTGTGGCCCTTTAAAGGCACCACCAAAAACTCGACCACTCTTTGGACGCGGCACTAAGAGTGTGGCCCTTTAAAGGCACCACCAAAGACCCGATCACTCCACTTGACGCGGCACAGAGAGTGTGGCCCTTTAAAGGCACCACCAAAAACTCGACCACTCTTTGGACGCGGCACTAAGAGTGTGGCCCTTTAAAGGCACAACCAAAGACTCGATCACTCCACTGGACGCGGCACAGAAAGTGTGGCCCTTTAAAGGCACCACCAAAGACCCGATCACTCCATTAGACGCAGCACTATGAATGTGGCCCTTTAAAGGCACCACCAAAAACTCGATCACTCTCTGGATGCGGCACAAACAGTGTGGCCCTTTAAAGGCACCACCAAAGACCCGATCATTCCACTGGACGTAGCACTAAGATTGTGGCCCTTTAATGGCACCACCAAAAACTCGATCACTCTCTGGACGCGGCACAGAGAGTGTGGCCCTTTAAAGGCACCACCAAAGACCCGATCACTCCACTGGACGCAGCACTATAAATGTGGCCCTTTAAAGGCACCACCAAAGACTCGATCACTCCACTGGACGCGGCACAGAGAGTGTGGCCCTTTAAAGGCACCACCAAAGACCCGATCACTCTATTGGACGCAGCACTATGAATGTGGCCCTTTAAAGGCACCACCAAAAACTCGATCACTCCCTGGACGCGGCACTAAGAGTGTGGCCCTTTAAAGGCACCACCAAAGACCCGATCACTCCACTTGACGCAGCACTATGAATGTGGCCCTTTAAAGGCACCACCAAAAACTCGATCACTCCCTGGACGCGGCACTAAGAGTGTGGCCCTTTAAAGGCACCACCAAAGATTCGATCACTCCACTGGACGTTGCACTGAAAGTGTGGCCCTTTAGAGGCACCACCAAATACTCGATCACTCTCTGGACGCGGCACTAAGAGTGTGGCCCTTTAAAGGCACCACCAAAAACTCGATCACTCCACCAGACGCAGCACTGAGGGTGTGGCTCTTTAGAGGTACAACCGATGACTCGATCACTCCATTGGACGTGGCACTGAGAGTGTGGCCCTTTAGAGGCATCACCGATGACTCGAACACTCCACTGGACGCTGCACTGAGAGTGTGGCCCTTTAGAGCAACCACCGATGACTCGAACACTCCACTGGATGCTGCCCTGAGAGTGTGGCACTTTAGAAGCATCATCGTTTACTCGATTACTCCACTGGACGCTGCATTTGAGAGTGTGACCCTTGAAAGGAAACACCGATGACTTGATTACTCCATTGGACGTGGCACTCAGAATGTGGCCCTTTAATGGCACAACCAAAGACTCGATCACTCCACTGGACGCGGCACAGAGAGTGTGGCCCTTTAAAGGCACCACCAAACACCCGATCACTCCACTGGACGCGGTACAGAGAGTGTGGCCCTTTAAAGGCACCACCAAAGACCCGATCACTCCACTGGACGCAGCACTAAAAATGTGGCCCTTTAATGGCACCACTAAAGACTCGATCACTCCACTGGACGCAGCACAGAGAGTGTGGTCCTTTAAAGGCACCACCAAAGACCCGATCACTCCATTGGACGCAGCACTATGAATGTGGCCCTTTAAAGGCACCACCAAAAACTCGATCACTCTCTGGACGCGGCACTAAGAGTGTGGCCCTTTAAAGGCACCACTAAAGACTCGATCACTCTCTGGACGCGGCACTAAGAGTGTGGCCCTTTAAAGGCACCACCAAATACCCGATCACTCTCTGGACGCGGCACTAAGAGTGTGGCCCTTTAAAGGCACCACCAAAGACCCGATCACTCCACTGGACGCGGCACAGAGAGTGTGGCCCTTTAAAGGCACCACCAAAGACCCGATCACTCCACTGGACGCGGCACAGAGAGTGTGGCCCTTTAAAGGCACCACCAAAGACCCGATCACTCCACTTGACGCAGCACTATGAATGTGGCCCTTTAAAGGCACCACCAAAGACTCGATCACTCCAATGGACGCGGCACAGAGAGTGTGGTCCTTTAAAGGCACCACCAAAGACCCGATCACTCCATTGGACGCAGCACTATGAATGTGGCCCTTTAAAGGCACCACCAAAAACTCGATCACTCTCTGGACGCGGCACTAAGAGTGTGGCCCTTTAAAGGCACCACTAAAGACTCGATCACTCTCTGGACGCGGCACTAAGAGTGTGGCCCTTTAAAGGCACCACCAAATACCCGATCACTCTCTGGACGCGGCACTAAGAGTGTGGCCCTTTAAAGGCACCACCAAAGACCCGATCACTCTCTGGACGCGGCACTAAGAGTGTGGCCCTTTAAAGGCACCACCAAAGACCCGATCACTCCAATGGACGCAGCACTAAGAATGTGGCCCTTTAAAGGCACCACCAAAAACTCGATCACTCCACTGGACGCAGCGCTAAGAATGTGGCCCTTTAAAGGCACCACCAAAAACTCG